GAGGAAGATTCGCTCTGAGCTAACATCTGTTGCCAATCTTCCTTTATTTTGTATGTGAGCTGCTATTACAGCATGGCCACTAATAGACAAGTGGTGTAGATCTGTGCCCTGGAACCAAACCTGGGCCGCCGAAGTGGAGCGTGCCGAAATTAACCACTAGGCCACCGGAGCTGGACCCCAGTGTCTGCCACTCTTGATGATCATGTGATTCTCATCCCTACTGATTCCATTCCGCCCTACTCCACTGTTCCTGAAGTCTCCTCCCTCAGTGACCACAATTCACTGGCACCATAATCTCCTTAATCTTGACCCCACCTTGATGACAGTATTACTCTCTCCACTACTATCACAGAAAACCCCGTTCCTACATAGTCATCTTCTCTCTACCCCAATTTACCACTTGCCAGTTTGTTTTTGGGTCTATTGGGCACAGCCTCTGAATCTCATTTAATAATCAGACTGCTTAAATGACTGAGGAATTTATGAAAGATCTTTTTTATTTATATACAACAATTTTGGCTTGAAAATCAAACTTAATATGTGATACATGATACTTCTTAGTTAAAGGCCATTATGGATTCATTAAACAAATACAAAAAACACTCAGCAAATGTTAACTGAACAGTGCAGTTTTCAAGGATGCAGTGATGTGAGAGACAGGCACCAGGCTATGCAGGTGTTCTATTTCCATTTCAACTTTATCATACTAGGAGGTCCTTCCAACTCTCACAGAGACTATTTTCCAGAGAACAAAAAGAAAACCACACTGTTCAAGAACACCTGTTGCCTTCGCAATTTTTCTGTTTCAGGATTTCTTCTGGAGTCATGGGTCATTTTACCTGAAACTGAGAATATTCTCAAAGCCCTTTGAGGAGACAAAGACAGCAGAGTCAGCACTCCTGTCTCCCAGCTCTGAAGATCCAAATCCTTGGACTGCTGTTCCCTGGACTGTCTGTTTTCACTGGCTATTGAGGGGTAGAGAGTGTGCCTGTAAATGGAAGCCAATGCATGCCCTTATGTCCAAAATGAAGAAATTCACCTTTTTGTATCAGAATTCCTTTAGATCATCAGTGTTGAGAACCTAATATAAGTCATTGTTTCAGAAGATGCAGGTTTGTAGAACGATGATTTGTTTTCCCTCTAAGGTCCTTGGTTGGCATTAGAGTGTTCTTCATTTTTATTCGGATCATGACTCTATGGCTCAAATAGTGTGAAGTCACAAGGGCGCCTGATTTGGAGACAAGTATTTCCTGACATTTTAATAGATAAAGAAGAATCTCTTATTAAAATATCAGAAGCTAAAAACTGTATACTTTTTGATATTTTATTCTTGGAGAAATAGTCTTTTTAATCAATAATGACTTAATCAAATTTGACCTTGTCCACAGCCTTGATTACAATGGCCCTTTTTACCTGGTCACAAATCTTTTCCCAAAAGCCACTTCTTTTCAGACTTGTACATGGCACTAGGCTTTGAATACCTAAGCTCTTGTGAACCTTTTTCTTTTAAACATGCACAGGAAACTGCCAAGATGCCAGGGAAGAAGTGAGCGATGGTTAAATGAAAAAAAAAAACAGTTATTTGATTTCTATTTTCTATATTTGCTTGATACCATTTCCTGAACTGATGCAGGCTCTATCCTGGCCAAGTCTCTTTTTTATTGTTTCCTGGAACAGAATATACCTAAATATCACTATGCTTGGGAATCAGGAACTTTCCATGAATGTTTTCCAATCAAGGGTTAGTAACTTTTCCACATAATTTCAGAGGGTGAAAAAATACACTTTAAAAAAAAGGCAATTTGTAGCTTCCAGCTAAGAACCATATACTGGTTGAGATATCCATATAGTTATTCTATAGAAATTTGTAGCAGTCTGCAATGATTTTGATTTCCCTCTATAAAAATGACTTTCTCTGAGGCTTTATGTAACATTATATAATTTAAAATTAAAACCAACATTCTGAATAATAGCTTAAAATATGAAGTCATTATTTTAAGTGGATTCTGTTTGATTTTATTATATGTTCATATATTTTAGTAATATGTTTTTAAACCAGGAGGAATAGAAGCAAAGAAAAATGAAGTCCTTTCACAGGAAATCTTCAACTCTTGAAATGTTAATTGATTTATTTTTAGATGTGTCATTTGAAAAGTGAAAATAATGAGGATTCTCATCGTGAGGAGCAGGTATTTTAGGATTGTTCAGGTACTGTGACCTTTTTGTTGAGACAGCGGCGCTCTTTTGTGGTCATTGAATATTATTGTTTTTTCAAGTCATCAAGCACGTTCTGCTTCGTGATTTTGGTCCAGGCATCAGGGATTTCACCTTTACCTATAAATTTTTTCTGATATTTTTCTTCTAGCTTTGATCTGAAGTGACAAACCATTTCCAGTATGGCTGGGTGGATGAGTCTGGGGTGATGCTCCGCATGGCATTCTCCCCTCCTGCCTGGCGATAGTTCTTACATGGGAACTTCCGGTCATCTCTCAAAATAAGAAAACAATCACTTGCTACTAGACTAGCACAGCACTCAATGGTAAAGTGGTCTGTTTTATGCCATCTCCATCGACAGCTTGAGGACGGTGGAAGGGAACACTGTGGTCTCCATCATGTGTAGGGAGTGTGTTTGTACAAATAGCTTTACAGAAGGGACACTGTTTCCAGCAGCCAGAGAGATGTTCAGAGAGCATTTTCTCGATTTCAGGAGCCATTTTTCCTGTGGACATACTCAAATAGTTCTGTTCTGGTCTCTTCATTGCGGGATCCAAAGCTTCACTCATGGCTTCTTTGAGAAACTCAATATCTTTGATCTCCTGGTGTTTAATGCTTATCAAGTCTTTTCATGGAAAGATCAAGTTACCTCCTAGGTGATCACAGAACAAATCCAACCATGTAGACACAGTGCTGCTTTTATCTTTAGCTATTGCTGTGGATTCATGAATAGCTGAGAGGATTGCATTCTTGATGTCACCTAAACTTATTTTTAAAAAAGTCTTCATTTTTTCACTTCCTTTGAATGAACAATATCTTTTAACATGGTTTTTAATGTAATTCCTAAAAATATTCTGGATTTTGAATGTACTGCCAGTAATTGTCAAAATTTTCTTCTTCTGCCAGAGAGATGAGAATGTGTTTCTCCAAGTTAGCCTTGTTTCCAATGAATGCAGGGCAGGTAGCTCGTATGTCCCCAGCAATCTTAGAGGCCATTTTTTCCTGTATGGTGGTGGAAACAGCAGGAGTGAGTTTTTGCCACAGAAAATCAACAGATGTTTTGATTGAGGTTGTCCCTTGACAAGAGATCTTAAAACTCATGAAGGAATCATTCTTCTTGCTTTCCAGATAGTTTACGGGGTCATTTGCTATCTTGAATGCCATGTGTATCTCCTTAAATTTTTCTGATGCTCTTTGGAATAAACACAAAGATAAGTCAATTTTATATCTACTTGTAAATGTGTATCTTTCCTCAGTGGTTGCAGATTTCACGTCCTCATCAATTATTCTCAGGATTTCATGGAAATAACTGGGATTGTAATCACGCTGTTGCCTCCTAATGTTATTAATTATCTCAATAGATCTTGAAATAATGGGATCAGTAGTCATATTTATGGACTCTATTTCAGAGATGTCTAAATTCCTTTTAATTATGAGGTATTTCTTGGTCATTTTGACATGTTTCTCATAGTTGATTTGAAACTTTTCTCCAGAATATTCCTTCAGTATGTCCACCATGTTTTTCTCCTGTTTGAAATAATTCAAAAGGATGTCTTCAGAATCCACATCAATGTTAGGCTCAGTGACGGGAAGGACCGTTGAGGACACAGCATTGACCCACTTTTTCCAAAGTTGATTGAATTTCTCATGTAGCTCTTCATCACTCAGTTCTTTGCCCTTTAGAGTTAAAGCCAACTTTCGGCTTCTTTCCAATAATTCCTTTTCATAACCTGATTTTTGGTTATCTAGTTTTTCTTGACATTTTTAAAACTAATAAGTTCATTGGCTTTTCTTCGGCTGTCTGAAATAAGTGCCTCTTTAAGGATTATTAGCTTATTTTCAAAATTTGCTTTCCACTGAACCAGTATTTCACTATCTGGATCTTCATTAAAATATTTCTCCAATTCTTGCTTGATGGCTTCATATTTTTCTGTAACTGGAGCCTCGAATGTGCTTGTTCTGAACATCTGGATTTTTCCATTCTGAATCTGATTGATCAGCTTGTTCTGCAAGCCCAGAACATGACTTCTCAGCTCCCAGGTCCAGTAGTTATACATGGTTTCCAATTTGCTCATGGCCATGACCTCTCGGGTGTTCCTGAAACTGAAAATAAAATTCTCATTCAACAAGGCTCTCCACAAGTCTTGAACTCAGAATTTTACATCTGATATCTTCATGATCCTTCCCCTAGAATCCTCTTTGGCAGTCTCAAGAATTCTACTTTTCAGTTTCTGGACGTTGTGGCTGTAGTGAGGATTGGGAGGGGCCATTGGGGGATTGCCATCCCAGAGATGAGCAAAGTAGTAGACGTGAGTATTGGCATCAAACTTGATGACATCACTAAAGTGGGTTACATCTGAGCACTGTTCTTGTTCAGCCGCTGTTGCTGTCATTTCATCTAGTTTCTGCTCTAGCTGCCTTCGTCCTTCCATAGTTTGGTCTTTAGCTGTAACTTCCCCCACATTCTGATGGATAAAGAGGCAACTTGGGGAGATTTTTACTTGTTTCATCCGCAGAAAAGCCTGAACAGCAATTTGTAGAATATCTTGCATTTCTGATGGATTTTCCCCAAAAATATTGATCAGAGTCAAGTTTCCAAGTCCAATGACAAAAGATGCCAACTCATTGTCATGATTCTGGGATTTGTTGCCGAGTTCTGGGGCCCGAAGTCCTTCTGTGTCCACAATAAGCATAAAGTCAAAACCAAGTTCCTCTGTGAATGTCTCTTCCACCTTCCACCTGAACATAGATTCTGCTTGGGAAGATGTAAATTCCTTTGTTTCCATCGTGTGCCCTGCTAAGGGCGAAAGAGTGAGAACTCCTTGCGGACACTGAGTAGCTCCTCTCTCTTCTCTAATAGGCCCCTTTGGTAGGTGGTTTTGTAAATTCCCTGCACGGTCAGCCCTCCAGATGCCCATCTCGCTGGATCTCTGTCTAGGAGGGTTTCCCTGTGAGACAGTGTCCCCTCCATGAGGGTGAGTTGTCTCTGCATGTTTTCCACGACTTCTCTTAGAGACTTTTCAAGAGGTGGCCAGTACTCTTTGGGGATCTCCATTGCCTGCCTCAGCTCTGCCTCTTTTTTCCTCACTGCCTCTTCCTGTCGCTGCCTCCCTTCAGACAGAAAGTCTCTTAGCTCCTGCAGTGTTTGGTCTATCTGCTTCTGCTTTTTCTTTATCATTTCCACCTGAGAGTCCTGTAACTCTGTAATACTATCTGAGTGCGACAGCTTAAGCAGCTTCTCCAGGGCCCTTTTCTCCCAGGTATATTGTGCCTCGGATTTCAGCTTCTGGAGGTCTTTTTCTTCTAGGTGTTGTAAGGCCTGGGCACAGGTCACACCCAGGTGTTCCTGCAGCTTGGGTATCCAGTACTCAACATCCAGTCCTACTTCTCTCAGCATCTCTTGGAGATCTTGCCCGCTTTCTCCTCTGAGAAGGGGCTTATCAGGGATGGACTCTGCTGTGCCCATGGCTGTGGGAAAAAAAGACACATAGTTAGCCTGTCATGAACTTTGGAATTGTCAGCCTTATGGCCAAAAGTGTGAGTGTACTAAAGAAGTAAGTGTTCAAGGCTTTCTCCTCCCCTCCTTTCACTGTTTCAACAAATATATTTGTTAACACCATCTTTAAATTTCTTGTGTGCAAGACATCTTTGTGGGTGTTCTGAGCATGGATTGCCTTTTTTAGTTGTCATGGTGAGTTGCAACTTAATAGCCTGGCTTTTTGGCACTTCCTATTACACAGAATCAATTGCACAGAGACTATAAGCTGAGAGTTGGAGGTTGATAATTTGCATGAGTTTGACAGCTTGATATTTCTTTTAGAAACAAGAGTGGTACCACCCATTATGTTTCCTCTATTAGTTTCTCGCACACCTTTGTTGAATGATTTCCTTCCTGTCTCTCTGTCACTTCTCCTTAGGCTATTTCATGATATTTATTTACTCTCTTGTCCTTTAAAATGCTCTTCTGGATTTCAGCATCATGGTGACACAAGATATTCTTCCTTTTTGTCTGTCCACCTTTTAAAACACCTAATTAGACATCCATACATGAAAAAAAAAGTGCCTCTGTGGGAGTTGTGGTATCTAGCACCATATGCCAAAGGATGTAGGAGGAGTCCGATCCACCTGTGCATCTGGTAAAAGGCATAAGACCTCAGTATCTTCTGTCGAACCAATGGCATCGATGAACCTACCCCAATCCCTCCTGCCGTAGTTGCAAGGAAACCTGGAATGTTTTGACCTGGGCAGACACCCACAGATGGGAGAGAATTTGCAAAAGTCTAGCCTTCAAGAAGGGAGGTTCCAGCAGAAGTTTGATGACATTGCACTGGGCTAAACTATCTGGTGGCTGTGACCTCTCCAGTGGGGAAAAAGTAGAGTGGTGAGTGAGTGCCTGGTGATCCTATGTGTTTGGGACATGGCTAGAGAAACCAATTTCTTTCCAGCAGCACCAAGAATACTGAGGCAAGACCTCCATGACTGGGAGGAGGAAAGATATTGGGAAAGAGGCAGATAAGAATATCAAGGGGCATTAAAAAGACATAGTCTCTGCTGCTTGTACTCAGGGCTTCAGCAAGAAGTCCTCCCATTAGACTCTGGGAGAACCTCACCCACGGATCTCCCAAACAGGTCGGCGGGCAACTCCATCACCTTGAGTGCTAAAACCACAACTCCCCTCACTCTGTGGCTGGCTGATGTGTGCACTCCTGATTTCAGTAGTGAGAGCCAGTCTGTAAATGGAGTGCTATCAGAAAGAGACCAAGATCTGTGGGCAAGCAAGAAATCACACACTTGAGGTATAGTGCCACCTTCTGGAAAACAACAGAGAAGTTTCCAGTAGCCAGCCTTGTGAGTTGTAAGAACCAGGGAAGTTATAAAAGCATAAAAATTCTACCACAAGAGAGACCAAGAAGAGTGGAGCACGTGTACCCATATAAAGGCAGAGGACACCCCAGCACCAATAAACAGAATACCCTATGTGAAGGCCATTAGATTTAAGGATGTATCTTCTACTTCAAATGTGAAAGCAGCAATGCAAAACTACAAGGGCATGAAAAATGAGGGAAACATGTCATCACCAAAAGGTAAAAATTCTCCAAGAACCTTGAATAAAGGCATAGAATTTTGTGCCCTGGCTGATAAAGATTTCAAAATAGCTGTTTTGAAGAAACTCAATGAGCTACAAGAAAATACAGAAATAGGATTCAATGAAATCATGGAAAAAATACATGAGAAAATGAGATGTTTACCAAAGAGATAGAAATCATAAAAAAGAAACAGAAATTCTTGAGCTGAAGAACTTAGTGAATGAAATGGAAAAAGCAATAGAGAGCATGTGAATCAGAGCAGGGCAAATGGAAGACAGGATAAGTAAGTTAGAGGACAGGAATTTTGAAATAACCCAATTAAAGGAGAATAAAGAAAAAAGATTGAAAAAGAGCAAAGAAAGCCTACATGATCTAAGTGATTTCATAAATAGAACAAAAATTAGAATAATCAGGATTCCAGAAGGAGAAGAGGAGGAGAAGGGTGCAGAAAGTTTATTTAAAGAAATAATAACTGAGAAATTCACAAACCTGCAGGAGACTTGGACATCCAAATTCACAAAGCTAATAGATCACCTTTTTATCTCAATGCAAAAAGACAAATTCCAAGACACATTATAATGAAACTGTTAAAATCAAAGACACAGAGAGAATCCTAAAAGCAGCCAGGGGAAAAAGGATTGTAACCAACAAAGGAACCCCCATTAGGCTATCAGAGTATTTCTCAGCAGGAACTCTAAAGAACGGGTGAGAGTAGGAGGATATGTTTAAAGTATTGAAAGAAAAAAATTTTAAGCCAAGAGTGTTCTTTAGGTATAAGAATATTCAACAAGGAAATATTGGATTTGAAACATAACATTAGACCAAATGGACCAAACAGACATTTATAGAACATTCCATGCAATAGCAGCCAAATATACATTCCTCTCAAATGCATACATGATATTCTCCAGGATAGATCATATGATAGAATGCAAAACAAGTCTCAGCACATTTGGAAAGATTGCAATTTTACCAAGTATCTTTTTTGACCAGGATGGTATGAAACTAGATATCAACAATAAGGGGAAACCTGGAAAATCGACAAATTTGGGGAAATTAAACAACAGACACCAGAACAACCAAAGGGTCAAAGAAATGTCAAAAAAGAAATCAAAAATTTTCTGAAAACAATTGAAAATGGAAACACAACATACCAAAACCTACTGGGCCTCAAAACCAGTTCTGAGAGGGAATTTTCTAGTGACAAATACATATATTAGGAAAAGAGAAAAATCTCAAATAAACAACTTAACTTTAAACCTCAGAGAACTAAAAAAATAAGAACAAACTAAGCCCAAAGTTAGCACAAAGGAAGAAATAACAAAGGTAAGAGCGCAAATAAATGAACTAGAGACTAGAAAAACAAAAGAAAAAATCAAAGTAATGAATAACTGCTTTTTGAAAAAGATAAATGAAATTGACGAACCTTTAGCTGGACTAAGAAAAAAAAAAGAAGACTCAAATAAATAAAATTAGAAATGAAAGAGGAGACATTAAAACTAATACCACATAAATACAAAGAATCATAAGAGACATCTATGAACAATTATATGCCAATAAATTGGATAAACTAGAAGAAATGGATATACTCTTAGAAATATGCAACCTACCAAGACTGAATCAGGAAGAAAAAGAAAACCTGAAAAGACCAATAATGAGTAAGGATATTGAATTGGTAATCAAAAATCTCTCCACACAGCAAACTCCAGGACCAGATGGCTTCACTGGGAAATTCTACAAACATTTAAAGAATAATTAACACTAACCTTTTCAAACTCTTCCAAAAACCTGAAGAGGAGGGAATACTCCCACACTCATTTTATGAGGCAGGCATTACCCTTATACCAGAGCCAGATAGGGACTACAAGAAAACTATAGACTAATATCCCTGGTGAATATAGATGCAAAAATTCTCAACAAAATATTAGCAAATCAAATTCAAGAACACATTAGAGTATTATACACCATGACCAAGTGGGATTTATCTTTGGGATGCAAGGATAGTTTAACATACACAAATCAATAAATGTAATACATCACCTTAACGGAATGAAAGGTAAAAATCAACTGATTGTTGCAATCGATGCAGGAAACAAATTTGACAAAATACAACATCCTCTCATGATAAAAACCTTCAACAAACTCAGTGTAGAAGGAACATACCTCAACATAATAATGATTGTAAATGACAAACCCACATCTAATGTTATACTCAATGTTGAAAAATTGAAAGCTTTTCCTCTAAGATCAGGAACAAGACAAGGGTGCCAACACTTATCACTCTTATTCAGCGTAGTACTGGAAGTCCTAGCTAGAGCAATTAGGCAGGGCAAAGAAATAAAAGGCATCCAACCTCGAAAGAAAGAAGTAAAATTGTCATTATTGCAGATGATAGACTAACCAACAAAAGTGTTAGTACCACTCAATAAATTTGGTAAATTTGCAGGATATAAAATGAGCATACAGAAATCAGTCGCATTTCTATACACTAACAATGGAAACAACGGAAAGAGAAAAAAAGAAAACTAATCCATTCACAATAGCATCAAAAGCAATAAAATACTTAGGAATAAATTAATCCAAGAAAGTGAAAGATTTATACAATAAAAACTACAAGACTTTGATGGAAGACGTGGAAGAAGACAGAAACAAATGGAAAGATATCCCATGTTCGTATATCAGAACAATTAATATTGTTA